GCATCTTTCTACGGTTCTCGAATCCTCATGTTTCATTCCATGTGCTAAAATTTCAGGCAGTTATGTCAAGTGACATCGCGATTGCCCAATTTCAGTTTCTTGAGCGCCTACTTCTTGTGCATGGCCATTGGTGTTACCGAAGGATATCAAAAATGGTATCCATCTTGTCTATTCAATATTGAATCCAAACACAATATATCCAAGCTGAATCTGTGCCTTCTTGTAAAGTTTTAGTTCAATTATTTCAAGTTCACTTTGACATATGTACTTTAAACATGAGAATCTGCTACTTTTCATTTTTCCTTCTGCACATTCCTTCAATGGATTGCAATTTATTTGGCTGTAACACACTTCTCCCTTATTCTTTGGCAGATTTGCTACTTCTTTTACAAGAATATTGCCTTCGGTTTCACTCTCTTCTTCTTTGAGATGTATGCATCATTCTCAGGGCAAGCAGCGTATAATGATTGGTTCTTGACACTATACAACATAATCTTCACGTCACTTCCTGTGATTGCCTTGGGAGTATTTGACCAGGATGTCTCTGCAAGATTATGTCTCAAGGTAGCCCCCCAAACTCAATAACATTTTCATGGCATTCAGTTTGATAAATTTTGTTTCCTCAGATAAATACAACAAGTAACATTGTTTCATTTCCTAATAACATCACAGTTTCCACTACTATATCAAGAAGGTGTCCGAAATGTCTTATTTAGCTGGAAACGAATTCTTGGTTGGATTTTTAATGGGCTGTTGAGTTCTGCCATCATCTTCTTCTTTTGTATCAAGGCGATGGAGCATCAAGCCTTCCGAAAGGGCGGTGAAATTGTAGGTCTAGAAATCCTGGGAGCCACCATGTACACATGCGTTGTTTGGGTGGTCAACAGTCAAATGTCATTATCTATAAGCTACTTCACATACATACAGCATATGTTCGTATGGGGTGGCATTCTATTTTGGTATATATTCCTCTTGGCATATGGGGCCATGGATCCCACCATCTCAACCACTGCCTATATGGTCTTCATTGAAGCTCTTGCTCCCTCCCCATCTTACTGGTTCATCACTTTTCTTGTGCTTTTTTCCTGCCTTCTTCCATACTTCGCCTATTCTTCCATCCAGATGAGGTTTTTCCCTATGTACCATCAAATGATACAGTGGATAAGAAATGACGGACAAACTAGGGATCAAGAGTACTGTGATCTGGTGAGACAGAGATCCATACGACATACAACGGTTGGGTACACTGCTCGTTTTGAAGCATCCAAACGGTTTGAAGACAAGCCTTATCAGCAATAGCATCAGTAAATGGCTTCTTTCTTGTGTCTGCGGCATTGATAGGGAAAAGCACTACGTGAAATTTTCCACAGGAAATCTTTCATTGATCGTACATATTAAATGTAGATATGGATCATCCAGTTTTGCTTGTTGCGGTGAATAAAGCCATGTAAAGCTCTAGATAGCGCCTCTGATTTCTGTAGCCATCTTTGAGATTAGATGGAGGATTATAATCAATAATATCCGGTGATATGACCGAGTGTAGCATAGAAGAGTAGTCAATTCATTTGTAATGTTTATTCTTTCATGTACATGGTATGGTGACATTGTCCCATGATGTAATTTTCTAGTTGGATTCATTCAAATTTTTAACCCATAGTCTTCCCTATCTGGTTTTCCAAACCAGCAATACAAGAACTTATTAGAAACCTTGGAGAGATAGAGTGAATTTCTTCATGATTTCTGGTGACGGTCTGGCTAGAGTGAGAGGAAGGAAGAAATGAGAGCCGAGCCACAAAGAGACCAGTGAGATTAGAAATCAAACAAGAGCGAAGAATTAAGGTTTAGATGGCTGAGAATGCGAACAGGGGTAGATGCCCTAGAACCGCCGGGAACCTTTTAGGAGGGGACATTTCTCTTAACGGGAAGAACATTGCATGGTTGATAAGGTGCCGGAAACTCAAGAAGGTGTGAGCTACCGAGAGAGGCCCTGGAGCCATTTAGAAAAGAGGAAATTAAAGAAGGAGGAGATTAAGATGGGAGTTAAGGTGACTGATACTGACAAGGGATCAAAGACAGAATTCTCCGAGGAAGGAAAGAAAGATTAGAGAAGTACTGTATTAGGAAAACTCTCTGATCAAGAAAAAGGGCCAATCTTTGTGGGGGAAGTCTGGACAAGTTGCCCTTTCGGATATTGGCAATGGCCACTTCACTGCCAGCTTTCAAGATATGGATGATTTATTTCTTTGCGTACAAAGAAAATTATCACTGAGAGTGTTTAATCTCTGTGCCTAAACGGATTCTCACTTGTCTGGGTGTACTCGGCGCATATTCCTCCTCAGTGGAATCCGATGCCTGGGCTCTGCCAATGATTGAAGATGCCATCACGTGAGGCTAGCTAATCTAAAATGGAAGACAATTTAGTAAACGTCTTCCACATCGAAAGCAATTAAAAGGGGAAAAAAGGGATCTAATAATGAACTTTTCTCGTGAACCAAACACAAAATGAAGGTGTAAGCTGGACTTGGATTCTCTCCACTACCCTTTCCATCATCTTCCCTTCCACTATCCTTTTTTTCTTTTCACAACCATTGGATCAAAATTCTAATGGTCCAAATTTAACATCTTATAAAAATAATATTATTAAAAAAATAAATAAATAAATTTAAACTATTAAAATCTGGTCTGAACAGTTCACAATTATAATAAAAAAATTTGAAAAAAATTTGCTCTATAATAACAATCTGTAGTTATGAATTATTCAGATTAGATTTTAACAGTTTAAATTTATTTATCTATTTTTTTTATCATAATATTTATTTTTATAAAATGTTATAAAATATTAAATATGGACTATTAGAGTTTTGATCCAATGGTTGTGAAGAGAAAATGAGGGTAGTAGAGGGAAAGAGGACGGAAAGGGTAGTGGAGAGAATCCAATTCCGGTGCAAGGCATATATTATAAAGTTAAAGACTTGTTCAACAATTCCTCACCTCAAGCCCATAAAATGGAACTTAAAAGATCCGGGGGGGAGGGGGGATGAGAATTAAGTCTTAGAAGATCAAATTAAGACACTTTAACTTTGTATTTAATCTCAACAATCAAATTTGTTACATTAAGTTTTACGAAATTTTAGTCAAAAAATTATTATTAATAGCAATAAATTATTTGAAACGGTAACTTTTAAAAAAGATTGATAGTGATATTTATAAACATTGTAAAAAAAAATCTTAAAATTTAACAGTATTATTACTTTTTTAAAAAAAATAAATAGCATTTGGGAAACATAAATCTTTTATTTGATCAAGAATTTTCTTTTTCGAGACTTGGAGTACAAAAGGTTTTTATCTCTCTTAACAAATGCACTTTTTTGGATTCAAATTTATATTTTCCTTAGAGGGGTAAGGCTTATTGAACAAAACATATTACTCCTCTGGTCCTTAATATAAGATCTATTTAACTAATTTGATTAGATTAAAAAAGTTAGGTATTAGTTAACTATAATAAACATGACATATTTTTCCTAAAATACCTTAATTATCTTCATTATATCCTCTCTCCCTCTCATATTTGATTATGATTGAGGGAGTATCAATAGAAATAATTTAAAAAAAAATTAATAGATATAATAAATAGATTTTATATTTAACATAAAATCAACTCTATAATTAAATTTTATATTAAGAATAAAAAGAGTATTTCAGTCGTTAAAAAATACGAAACAGAAAGATGCAAGCCCAAAAGACAGGAACAGTCACAAAAGTTAGTTTATCTCACGTGTGAGTTGCAGAGGGGAGGACCTCGCTGTCACTGAAGGCACTCTCACCTAATGCGTTAATTATCCAATCTCATCTCTCAGCACCTCCCTCCGTTTCTAATTTCAAAACATTTTGAAAAAACTAATTGAAGTTTAATTTCTTGTTTTTTTTTTTTTTTTGGTTTACAAAGAGATCCAAGCCCAGCAGCACAAAAGACAAAGCCTATCCTATACCATCTAACATGCGAACAGTTCCAAACTCTACAGATTCATCACAGTCAGCTCTAATCCCTTTCCACTGCACGCACAATATGAGGATCAACATCCTCCACGTGTCTCCGACCCCCTTGTTCGACAAAGCTAAGTTTTGCCAGACCATCTGCGCATACATTCGCCGTTCTCTTCACTACATCCACCTTTACCTTCCAGTTCTTCGCAAGAAGCTTCGAAATGCTCTGTAACAGGCTACTCGAAAAGCCATTCTCTTTAGCTTTCCCTTTTATTTTCCTTGCCAGATCCTCAGAATCAATCTCAAGTTCCACTTTTGTCTCTCCCATCTCCCGAGCTATTTAATTGAAGTTTAATTTCGAGAAAGAACAATTCATGCATACACCCAAAAAAAAAAAATCTCATTTTAAAATGAACAACACTTTCATAAGTGTTGTTTGGTAGGCTGAAAACTAAGGGATGAAAAAGGAAAAAAGCATCCTTTCCCTCACAAAACAAGTTTGGCTGCGCTATTTTGCTAAGAGCAATTTGTATTGAGAAGAAATTTTTATTTGCTCATGGGAAAGCCCTCTCCCTCCAATATATGGTGGGAAATTTTTAAGTGAGCCCCTTCAGCATCTTTCTTAAACTTTTTGGCTAATGAGATAGGGTATCTAAATATTGTGTGCACTTCGTATTCTATTTTCCCCCCTAATTCATTATTTTTCTTTTTCTCTCTTCATCAAAAAATTTTCCCTTATCCTCCTTTCCTTTCCATTAAAATATGTTACATGTACCAAATGGGCAAATCTCATATTCACAAAGAAGACCCATCTATTGTGTTCTGTTTTTGTTATCTTTATCCTAAACTCCCGATCAAATTTACTTGACGTCAGATTTTTCATTACAAAATTGGGGTAAGAGAAGACAAAGAAATAGATAAATGAACAAACTATCCTAAAAACAAGCGAGGCTCTTGGCGAAAATCAGAGTCCATAAGAATCGCCTGTTCTATCACAAATAATGTTAATGCTCGCATACATAAATTTCCAGCAGCCCTCTGTACAAAATCTCTCCACAACAAAGGCACATTCTCCATTTAATATGTTTTTTTCAACTAATAACATTATGGCCAGAATCACCACCCTCTTGATAACCATGCAAGGCCCAATGATTCGGAGGCCGACCTGGCCATCACGGTGGCGAACTCGTTGAAGCTAATTACGCCGTCGCCGTCCGTGTCGGCCTCCTGGATCATCTCCGTGAGCTCTCGATAGGTCAATGGCTGACCCATTTTAGCCATCGCTCCGACTAACTCGACGGCTGATATGTAGCCGTTGCCATCGCGGTCGAAGCTTTTGAAAACCTCCAAAAGCTGGCCCTGATTCAACAAGACCTGCTCGTTCATGTCGGGTAGAATTGCAGAAAGCAACTCGTCGAACTCAACAGAGCCGTTGCCGTTGGAGTCCATGGTGGTGAGTAAAACGTGGATTTGGTCGCCGGAGGGCTTGAGGCCAAGGGAGCGGAGAAGGGCAGCGAGCTCGAGGACGGTGAGGCTGCCGTCGGAATCCATGTCGAAGCGGCTAAAAATGTCACGTAACTGACTGAGCTGATCTACCTGAAGAGTTGCCATGCAGGGGCGGCAGGGTGATTAATGATTAGAGGCTAAGACAGAGAAGTAGATGGGATGGGAATAAGAGGAACAGAAAGAAAATTGAAGAGAAGGGAGATGGAGATGAGAGGGGAAGGGAGAAGATGAAAAGAGGAAGATGGTGAGGGAGGGGCTTAATTTAGAGGAGGGTTGTTTTGTACTGTGTTGGGAAGACGGACTGCAATCATGGCAGAGAAAAATGCGTTGGTGGCGTTGCTTCACATGCAAATGCAATTCCAGCCTAGCCTACTTTTTTATTATTCATTTGAGTTTTTAAAGTAATATATTATGGGTCCTAATTATAAAATACTCTTCGGGTTCTTAATATAGAACCTAATTTTTAAGTTGGTTTTGATCCTAAATATAAGACTCATTTCTCATATTTATCAATTTTCTCTAAATTACCCTTATAGATACTCCTTCAACCATAAGAGGGGGAGGGGTATTAAAAAAGATGATTATATTGCTCTAGAAAAAATATGTCACTTTTTTTATAATTAAGTGTATCACTTTTTTTATAATTAACTAACTTATCTAAATTTTTTAATCTAATCAAATTAATTAAATAATTCTTATATTAAGAACTGAAAGAGTATTATTTATAGACAAAAAAAAAATTTATACTTAAGACCCGAGGTGATATGAAATGCGTCTCCATAACCAGCGGGTGCAGTTGCACCTGTACGTAGAAGATGGCGCTCGGCAGCTAACGATAGTGTGATTATATACGATCAGCGTAATATATCCCCAGTTTATTTAGGGATAATTAATATGTAAATCCTTATAGTTTTAACTAGTTTTTAATTAGCTTTTTATAATTTTTTCTTTTTATTAGGTATTTATATTTTCACATGTTTTTAATTAGGTCTTTATAATTTTTTTTCTTTTTATCAGGTTCTTAGTGTTTTATTTTATTTTTAATTAGGTCCTTGTGGTTTTTTTTCTTTATTCTATAAATAATAATATTATATAAATAATAAATTATTATAAAAATCTTATGTTAATATTTTTTTAAATTTTTAGTTAAACCCATATATTATTTATTTTTGAATTATAATTTTTATTATTATAAAATTTAAATTATAATAATAAAATTTTCTAAAATTAGAATATAATTATAAATAGTTTATAGTTAATTATAATTAATTATTATAATTAATTATTAATTACTAAATGATTATATTAATTATTTTGTCCAATTATATAATTATTAATTTAAAAATGAAATTAATTCTAAAGAACAAAGTTAATAAATAATTTTTTTAAAACTACAAAGAACCTAATTAAAAAATAAGTGAAACTATAAGAACCTGATAAAAAAAAAGGAGGGGCCTAATTAAAAACACGTGAAGGTAAAAAGACCTGATAAAAAGAAAATTTTTTATAAATACCTAATTAAAAATCAAATAAAATTATAAGGACCCGAAGATTAATTATCTCTTTTATTTATAAGACAGAAAAAGAAGATACTTTTTATTCTATTTATATGATACTAAAAGAAAATTTTTTATATAAATACATAGTTTTATTCTTTATTTATTATTGAGCAAAACTTAGCAACATAGTCATCTAGAGATTTATAACCACATATAACTAACCATGCCGAAACTTACCTCTTCCTACGATGTCAAAATATCCACGCTTCGTGAACAATTTAATTAACCTTCTCATCATCATGGCGCGGGGCAGCCCGGGCGGCATTCGGTGTTCTCCAACTAACCTTCATGCTTGCGAGTTAATTTAATTGGCGAACGAGATGATGACTCGTTATTATCCTTAACTGGAATCCTCAGACTGACTGACTCCAGACAAGAAAGGTCCTCCACTTTAATAACAATGCTCCTAAAATAGAATGTCTGTCGAATGCTAATTTGCATGGACAAAGTTCTAGCAGCAACGCTACCCGTAATATTTGGATAAGGTTCCGAATTTAAACTCGGTGTTAGCATATTTATGTATGTGCGTGTGTTTAATTCTATTAAATAAAAAAAAATCTTGGTGATGAGTAGTGACATTACTAAATTAATTGAATCCATTTATGCATTCAAAAAATAACCTCCCCACTTTTCTTACTATTCACTTCCCTCTGGTTCTTTATTTTTACCATTACGTTAACCTTAAATTACTGAGATTTAATATCTTACAAAAATATTATTATAATATTAAATAACAAAAAAATTTAAATAAAATTTAAATTATTAAAATTTCATGCAAGCAATTCGCATCTCTTTGCTTTTATTACAATATTTTATATTCTTGTCATTTTGTTATAGGATATTAAATCTTGACCGTAGATGAATATAGAAAACGTGGATGATAAGGAAAAATGAAGAAATTATTTCTCGAGGTGAATTTATATGTATATGCCGGAATATGTTCGCAAGGAGTGTATATTATTTAGGCAAAATAATAATAAAAACTGAAAATTATTAAATCTCAAGTTAAGTTTGATAACAACACTTTATTTGATTTTGATAACACTAAATTTATAAATAACAACAAATTTTTGTTGAAATTTTTTTATTTAAAATTTAGTAATTTTCATCTTCCTTTTCTTATCGTTTTTCCTATTATTTATTGATTGATGAGTTAAGAACGCAACTTGGTTGATCTTAAGCCTTTCATTAAAACTAAAGTGATCTCTATTCTCTGGTCATGAAAGATCAAAATGCACTTGAACTTCTGCACCGCATGCATAAAATGAGAAGCTTCTTCTCAATGATTAAGGACAGAAAATGATCTCCCCTGACAATTTAATTATGGAAAAATTACACTCAGGTCCCACAGAGCACAATTAATATAAAAAAGGTCCTTCGAAATCGCGAAATGATTCTGAAGTCCCCGGGGACCTGTGTGTAATTAATTCTAATTGTGAAATTACGTAGTTACCTCTGTTAATTTGAATCTATTTACAACCTCAACAGTGGCTGTTAACAACCTGAGAAGAGGTGGTTAACAACCTCAACAACGCCCTTGGTATTCCACAGAGTGAGTTGTCATGAGCACTGCCGAGGTTGTCAATCACGTCTTCTCGGGTTGTTAACAGCCACTGTTGAGATTGTAAACGAATTGCTGCAATAAAATTAGAACCTATTTACAACATCAACAGTGGCTGTTAACAACCCGAGAAGAGGTGGTTAACAACTTCAACAACGCCCCTGACATTCCACAGAGTGAGTTGTCATGAGCACTGTCGAGGTTGTCAATCACGTCTTCTCGGGTTGTTAACAGCCACTGTTGAGATTGTAAACGAATTGTTGCAATAAAATTAACAGGGATAAGTAGGTAATTTCACAATTAGAATTAATTACACACATGTCCCTAGGGACTTCAGAATCATTTCGTGATTTCGTGGGACCTTTTTGATATTAATTGTGCTCTGTGGGACCTGAGTGTAATTTTCCCTTTAATTATTCTTACAGTAAAATACTACCTTTGATTCTTAGTATAAAATATTATTTGATTTTTATTTTGGTCTTAAATATAAGATCACAATCCACTGTCTCTCATATTTATGTATTTTTTTTTCAAAATAGTCCTTCTAACGATGGTAACTCTAACCAATACACTTGATTAGTAAGGATATTTTAGAAAAGACAACATATATTTATTACAAATAACTAACTTGATTTTTTTCTTAATATCCTCAAATTAGTCAACTAACTCTTTTAATTAGGATCGGAGGCAGTAGCTCCAAATGACTTTAGTAGTATCTCAAATGCCGAAACTTCATGGAAAAAGAGGTCATCCTCCTGTCCTTAATATAATGCTTAATTAAAGAGTTAATATTAGTCCTAAATATAAGATATATTTTATATAATTATCACTTTTTTTTTCAAATTAACTCTATTGATATTCCCTTAATAATAATCAAATAAAAAAGGAATGAAGAGAATTAAAAAGATGCTTAGGGAGTTTTAAAAAAAGCATATCATATTAACTAATTCAATTCACTTTTTTAATCTATTCAAATTAGTTAATTAAGTCTTATATTAAGGATTAGAGAAAAAATACCAAAGGTTGTATTTGAGGAAAAGCATTAACGGTTTCCTTCAAAGAGTTTATATAAATAATTAAAAAAATAATGGATAAAGTGGTAAATTTTGTTAATAAGATTTTCGGCTGCAAATTTCCTATTCTAAGCTCCCTTAAATCCATTTTCAAGGGCCTGGCTAATTAATTTATGTACATATTTGAGTATGACTCCTAAGGGTATTTAGATATTTTAATAAATTACTCCAAGGAATCTTATCCTGTTTTAAAAAGGTTTGGTGCATTTTTGATTAAACTTCAAATTATTTTAGTAAATTGAATACTACAATAAATGCAAACAATTAAACACAAATATACTGTATAACACACAAAATTGATGATAACCTAAATTGAATACTTAGTAGCACTGCTTAAATGCGTGTAAAAAGAGATTGATAGAATGAAAACTATAGAGTCCAATAAGATCCATGGAGAAAAATTGAAACAATAAGAAAATTACACAATTTATAAATAAGTACAGTTGATATATGTAAATTAAATAAGGCATAAGCCAACCAAATATCAAAGAATCGGAAAAAGCAGCGGAACTTCATTTTATCCTTCGCATTAATTCTCGAAACTAGAACAAATTGATGGCTGCAATTATGCAAACGTCGTACAAAAGAAAAAGTAAAAAGGAAAAGCAAAAAAGTGAAAAGCAGAATAAATAATAAATAAATAAGGAGAAAGGTAAGGCGGTCAAACGTAAAATTACCTTCTGCTTTGAGCTGTTGACCTGTTGTACAGCCACAGGTGTCACAAAGCCGAGAGGGTAGCTGATGTCAGTATTTTGAATGGTATAAATTTATTTCATTTTGCACTGTTTAAACTTTGTTGTTATATTAAGGTTGGAAAATTATTAATTTTTAATATAAAATTAACAAGATTTAAGGTTATTTTAAGTCCCATAAAAAACTAATTGTTTTTTTTTAACATTGCATGCTTCACACGGTAAAGCAGCATTTATAAAGGTGATATTTTTTTTTCCAGAAACTCTCAACATGCTTCATAAAGTGCTAAATGCATTAAAAAAAAATGTCAAGATGATTAATGATGGTTTTGCTGGAAAAAAAAAAGGATGATTAACGACGGATGTACCATAAATGAAATAAGGGAGAATTGCAATTAGGTCCCACTCAAGGGAATTAAATGCAAAAATATCCCTTGAAATCATGAAATTATTCTGAACTCCCAAGGGACCTTTTTGCAATAAATTTTATTTGTTTACTTACCAAATTACCCTTCTTTTTTTTTTTAAATTTGCATTGACAACTGAAAGAGCAGTGGTTGACAACTCAGGGTGCAAGGATTGACAACTATCGCGGCTGGTTTGACAACTTATGATGTGAACCAGCCGCGATAGTTGTCAATCCTTGCACCATGAGTTGTCAACCACTGCTCTTTCAGTTGTCAATGCAAACTTAAAAAAAAAAAGAAGGGTAATTTGGTAAGTAAATAAATAAAATTTAATGCAAAAATTTTTTTGAGACTTTAAAATAATTTCATAATTTCAAGGGATTTTTTTGTATTTAATTCCCTTGAGTGGGACCTAATTACTATTTTCCCATAAAATAAGTGTGCCGGATCCTGATGGCAAATAATCCCACTACTTTATCCTATTTTATACATATATTAATATTAATAATATTAATTTATCTCATAGTTTCATTTTCAAACTGCACTCTTTTTCAAGAAAAAAAAGGGTGACGATAACATAGCTACTTCTTTTGATCTCCTACCTTTGTGGATTGTAAGATTCAATTGTGAGGATATTTTTTATATTCAATTATATATTTTACCGTACAATACAAAATAGAAGCGATGTTAATTTCAAAGTTTTTAAAATATTATTTAAAGAAAAATCAAATGAAAAATTATAATTTTTACCTTAAAAAAATAAAATGATGTACAACTTGGTAAAAATGTGAGGAAAGAGTTCAAAGAATGAAGACTAATTAATGATACTCCTACGAAACATGCACCGGAAGCAAGAAAAATTCCATTTTATGCATGATACAGTTTTATATAAATTTTATATTTTTGGCCAACATAAAATTGCTACTATGTTACAACTTACAACACATAAACTTCATATTTTAGATATCTTTTATATGCCACACATATATATTTTTTATATTGAATAATACTTAGATCGACTATGTCAAGTTTTTTAATCATATATAATTATATATTCTATTTTTAAAATATTAATATTAATTATAAACTTACATAAATAAAATAGGACATATAGTCATGTGTAATTAGGTAATTTAACATAATTGATATAAGAAACTTGATCTAGGTATTTTTTATAATATAATATTCATTGACCACAACATTTTATATTGAACATAAATTTTTTAAATTACAAATAATGCAATTTACTTTATGGAAACTATTAATACATGACATTAATTTATTTGCCGCAGCATCTCCGCAATCCAAATGGAATCACTGTAGGAACGTATGTGGTTTACGTGGATATTTGTTGGGAGAAAAAAGACTCAAGTGGTTATTTGGGATCACTCCCACCAAATCATCACTTTTAAATTTTATGAAGCAAGATTTTCTCAATATTCACTCCATACAATACAAAATCGTTGGCCAAAAAAAAAAAACTAGTACAACACAAAATTATTTAAAACAAACTAAACGAAATTTAAAAGCTTTTGACATGGGTAAGCTAGAGGCTTGTTTAGAGTAATTTATAAATAATTTTTTAATAATAATTCACAAAATATGAGATAACTCTGTAGAGAAAGGTTTCTTTTATGCATAAAATGTGTTTGGAAACACTTAAATAAGTAAATCCAAATCATTAGCATGAAAACTTACAAAATATAATAAAAATTGAAAATAACTAAATTAATAAATTAATAAATTATTTTTTTTAAATAAATAAAAAATATAAATCCTAAATTAATTAAAAAATTACGCAAATAAGTTTTTCTAATCACCGAATTTTTTCTAAACTTGCTGAATTGAGATTCTCTCCCTCTGGGTTTTTGATTTTTAATTTTTTGCCAATCAGGATTCTCCTACTTTGACTGCACAACATAGCATATCCGCTTTTTAATTGGTCCAGCGCAAAGAAACCTATCACATGGCCTTCGAAAGTGGGGGTCATAACAGTAAATTCCACCTTCGAATGCGAACAAATCATTCTCAGTTTCTCCTCGCTTGCCCTTCTAAAATGACTCCTCGTCTGAAACTCCCATCAAGCGAGATAACACGAGAGAGAGAGAGAGAGAGAGAGACCCACGCCCACTCGACGGCAATGGCGAATACAGATTCCCGGTTTATTTGTTTCTCTCTCTTTTCCTGTCAGTGTGTCATGTATTCTTCATGTTTTTCGAATTTTCCTTTTTAACGTGCAGATTGCGATTGAATAACTTATTATCCAGCGTACTCTGTGTATGCCTAGATCTGCGGTGTTTGATGTTTCGTTCAATAGGAAAATCCTTTTTGTTGGATCTTGTAATTCCATGGTGACTCTGTTTTGTGTTTACTGAGGGGAAGAAGTATTTTTTGCGAGGATTTCTTGATTTTTTTAAATGTGATTTTGTGATTTTAAAGCTCGGGGGTGTAAGTCACTGGAGGCAGCGGTTCATCGATCTCTTCCTGAATTTTGTTGTGTGAAAAGCACAAAGCATGAATCGGTCGATAAACCTCTGCATCCAGCGCTCACTTGGCCTCTTTCTCTTTTTTCCTGTCTCTGTCTCCCACTAATTTCCATGTGCTCTGTTTGGTGGCCTAGAAATTACGGAGAAACTCTAAAGTTTGACCTTCCTTTCCTTAGAAAACGAAAGGATCGAACCCCTTTAGCTGAATTTTCATGCTTTGGTTTTCGTCTCCCTTTCTTTTTCCCCTGCCCGTGGCAATCTATGTATTCCCCTATGGATTTATACTTCTCTGTTTTCTGTATTTGCTGGACGAGCTAGTAATCACTGCCATGGGATTCTTACTCACGTGGCAATTTAAATTTTGTCGCCAATTCGGCATTTCATCTGAAACTTATTCGTTTCCCCTTCTTCCTGTCCGATACGATGGAGTGTGCAATTTCATTTTATTCTGATGGATTAATCGGGTGTTGTCTTTTCTTTGTTGTCCCCCCCCCCCTCACTTTTTCGTTGATGGGGTTGAGTATTTAGATTTGTTCGCTTGTAGTCTACAAATGACTATGTAATAATTTCATACACATAAGTTGTTATTCATGACCAGAGATAAATATGGTGCAAATGAAATAAATTGTTCAATGGGTTCCCCCTTGGTTATAATGCATATTGATCTTATAAATATATGATTACATGGAGTATATTTACTTGCACTCGTTAATTCTTTGAACATGTATGTTTTTCTTGTTTTTTCCTCCGTACTTACCTTGTCAGAAACTTCTTGTGATTAAATCGTTTGTTTTCAATTCAAAATTTTGTAGTTGAAACACATCAGTATTTAGAAGCTCAATTTAGCATTAGCTGTCCAACAGTTTGCTTGCAGTTTGAGTATACGATGTCTGCTACACCATTAACAACCAAAACAGCTACTGCTTTGAGCTTTTTCTTTTCCTGAGGTGTAACTTTCATCAATAAAAGCAGCTTCTCGGATCTCTAAAACTCTCCTTTTCTTATATTCTCAAATCATATGTTTAGGCTGTATAGGCTTCTTGCTTGTTTGTAAGGTGTGTCTTCTCTATCTGGTATTCATATTTTCATGTTTTCCTCCCATTGTGTCTTTTGTTTGAAGCAATTTACTTCGCTATAGTGGAGTTCTTGAGTTTGTTTACCTTCATTTTTAAATGTAAATTACTGGTCCTTGGTTTTCAATCTATTGAGTCGGGGAAGGAGGTGTGACCCCACTATAATTTTAGTTTATTTTCAGGATAACATCTATGGATATTTATTTTCAAAATTTTTAGTGAAAATATAGTATATGGACATCTTCTCCCTTTTTCACACCCTGGCACCACACTATTGACTCTTTGAAAGAGGGCCCTTTTCATGTTTTTCTATTGAATAATTCGATAGCCAACATTTTTAAGCTGTATCAAAGACTTTGTGTTTTGTTTTTTGGTTCCTATTAGGATGAGTAAAAATTACACATATCCATTGGCATCATAAAAGGCATCAGTTTGAGCACAAGAATTTCTGTTGATAGTTTAAGCACCGGCGTTCAGTCAGTAGTATGTGTGTATTTATAGTATATACGTGTTAGTCAATTTAATGTATTAGGAAAGAAGCAAAAAGAAAATGCCTTACGACATTTATTTATAATATGTACGTGTTAGTCAATTTAATGTATTAGGAAAGAAGCAAAAAGAAAATGCCTTACGACATTTGTTTCAAATAGGTTTAGATCCGTGTGGACATTTTTAAAATTCAATGAAGAAGTTTGTTCTTAAACCTGTAGACGTAGGTCGTTAGATGGAGATTAATTTATCGTTCCATGAGTCTTGCCCATAATCAGCCGAGTTCTTATACATGCCTATGTGCCTTCCCCAGTTGAATCCTGCCGAGAGCTTCTGAACTGGTGGGTCGGACCTTGCGGATAAGATACTTGTAGGTTGTAACAGTTCCTGCTGCGGCCTCTTTTAAGATCTCGGAATGGCTGATGGTAATGTGTCACTCCAAAGCTTGATTTTGACATGTTTTGTGGAAAAAGGCACACGAGTTTCAACTAGGCCTTTGGGGGATTTGGAGTTCAATACTAGGGTGTTGGTTGCTTTTTGAAGAAGGTGAAGGGAGTAATATTACTTTAAATGTCATTTTCTTGAGCGGAAGGTCTAAAGGTTCCTGCTTGTTGCCTTCCTGTAAAGGAAAAGGCATCTTTTACTTTTAAGATGGTAGGTTTCCATGTGGAAGGCAATACTTGTGAACTGTACTGTGTCTCAGTATTTGCTGCATGAAATGAAAGTAATGAAAGCTATGGTTTGTTGAGTACATGTTGCAAGAGAATCTCCCTGCAGCCGATCATGGAGGAATCTGGGGGATCAAATTCCTGCTGATAAATTTTGAATTGAAAGAGATCAAGCTAGGGTGGGGACGAGTCCAGGCGGAATGCGAAATAAAGCAAAGTACAAATTTTGATTCTGGGAATAATAAGTGCATAATTATTTCCTACTGTTATTCTTTCTTCTGATTCCTCGTCCTCCCTTAGAATTCTCATGCTATTGTCTTTTCTGTTCTTGACGTTTCGCTCTCGGGGCTATTTTTCTGCCTGTCTTGCATAACATTTTTTCACTGTAGTTCGTTTCAATAGACACAACATAAAACATACAAGGGCGAGAGAGGAAATGGCTGAGGCCATATTTTGATGATATTCTAAATATAATTCATGTTAAAATATAAACTAAATAAATTCCTCTAAGAATTTAAATTTTACAAAATTACAAAAAAAAAATTCCCTCCTTGTTTAATTTTATTAAATCATTTTTATTGGCGATTATGAATTTGACATGACATGAGAAAATTGAAAGAATAGTTTATTTCAGGCTGCGGGAGAAGTGGTAAAGATTTAATGGGGAAGATATTATATAATGATGCTCCTATCCTGTCACATGTACTCCAATATACAATTTGTGACGCCCAAATTAACTTTGGCGTCTTCTGATCATGTTTGCTGAGATGGAACGAATAATTCAAAGGAAGTGATTATTATGATGAGGACCAATGAATGAATAACAAAAACATCCCATATAAACTATTATTAAATTAATAAATTATTAAGTACTTAATTACTAATATTCTATTGTATTTTGGTGGCGGCTATAGGTAGAGCGGGGGCGGGGCTACGTCAGAAAATGACTTCGGCTATGTGCAAGACCATGAAAATGACCTTTGTTTGTTTGTTTGTTTGTTTTGGGTCGGGTACAATATTGGGATGATGAGCCCGGCTGGTAAATGGCAATTTAGGCACAATTGGTGGCCTTAGTCAAATTTCATTATCCTTGCCCTCTACCATTATGCGAATAAATAAATATATCTCCTGTTTATGTCCTTCCGGTTAAGTTTTGCCAGTGGAATGGAAAATAAAGCATATAAAGAGAAAATTGATTTCACTTCTTAGTACTTCCCCCCCCCCTTGTTATTAATCACTTCTAACTACCTTATGAAAATTAAAGAGAAGTAGTTGCTTTATTAACTTCGATTGAAAACAATTTTTTTAAAAAAATTATCCCTATTTAGAAGTATAGTAAAACACACATCAAATTTAGGGAGAATTTCAATTAAATTTGGTTGAAATATCAAAATTCAAATTAAGGCCTACACCTTTAATAAATTCCTAATTAGGCCAAAAAGGTCTTATTAGGGATTTTTGAATATTGTTAAAAGATTAAAATACCCATTTAAAGTAGCAAATAGGTAATTGGTCCAATCAATTTATGACCTAAATTCTTTTTTTCTTAAGATGCTGTCAGATGAACTATAAGTTTTATGTGTTTTTACTCCATATGTTGTTAAAAGAGTAAAATGTATATATATATATATTTTTTTGTATAAATTTATATTAAAAAGTTCATATTACTCCATCCGTCCCATTAAATATAAGAAAATTATTTAGATTTCTAATACAAACTCATATTAATTATTAGTAAGAATTTTGGCAATAACATTATAAGATATAACATAATGAGAACATATATATGGCAGATATAACAAAGCACTTAAGAAAATGACAAATTTAATGCTGAAATATACTAATATATTAAGATTCTAATTTTTTAGTTAAAAAAAAAAATTCCCTTGAAAAATTATTAATTTAATGGTGTTGGAATTAAATAATTAAAAGTCCTATTCCCATTACCAAAAAAAGTTCATGTTCCCAGAAATTTCTTATCAATATATCAAAATTAATATAAAATATTATATTATGCATTGTCAAGTTTTTGCTCTTAGTATTTTCAAATTTTTTTATGTAAAACATTTTGTATAAATAAGTACTATATAATGTCAAGTTTTCATGGTTTAAATTTTCTCTCTCAAAATAATATTATTTTAAATTATAATAAGGATATTTTAATCTTTTAACAATATTTAAAAATCCCTAATAACGTCTATTGGCCTAATTAAGAATTTGTTAAAAATATAAGTCTTAATTTAAATTTTGATATTTCAATAGGATTTAATCAAGATTCTCCATTAAATTTAAGTCTTTTTTCATAAATTTTAATAGGGTGCTATTCGGAAAAAGTTAGCTAATAACTTATCAAACGACTTGCTTACGCACGGCACCATTGAATTTATTAGAAAGTGCCCCACATATAAAGGACCAAAGAGAATAAGATTTAATTAAGTTATCATCTAATTATTTCTGTTTTGAATCTGACGTAAGTTTTGTTAAAATTCATTTTTTATATAGTATGCGTCCTGAAAAATAATTCAACACCATTATTGGTTATTATCATATTAAGAATAAAAAACTGTTTTTTGTTAAAGCTGAGTCCCTGATTTATATAAACAACCCCCGAGTTTTGTGGACATTATTTTAATATCTGTTTCATTTTTATGAGATATATACATATCTCTTAAAATGATTATTTTTTGGACGAGATGAGAGGGATCCTTTGTCAATAGAGACTTTAATAAGACTATATAGGAAATTTCAAAAGTTAGTACGAATATCTTTTTTTCAAAGAGTAATTTACAATAGATTTTTTTAATTAAAAGTATTTTAAATTAATAGACTACATTTCGATCAAATATTTAGAAATTAAAATCGGACTAAAATATTTTTTTATAGAAATCTTAATATTTTAAAACCAGTGAAAATCTTCGTATTACTTTAATGAAACTCAATACGGCCTTGTGTAAATTTTTTTAGATCATATTATCAACTTATTTGTGATTATATATCTTTCTCATGTTATTAATGTTCAGTGAATGCATGAGCTTAGTTACCTCGGCGCAACACAATGGGCAGAAATTCTAGTACGTAGCAATAAGACCTTACTGAATTGTGCTTAAATATTTTTATCATTAGATTTTGTTTAATAATTTTAACTTAGAAATATTATCTTGATTTGAATAGTTGAAAATGATCATTTTTAATTTTCTTCCTGTGCAACTAGACATTCATAAGCATGTACATAGTTTTTCTTAGACATGCTAAGGGCATATTAAAAATTAATTAAGCTGATGGATCCAGTGGGAATTCATTTTGATCCAAACATAAGAATGCAAACATTACGAGAAAAGGCATTGCAAGCAGCAGAAGGAGTTGAGTGAGATGAGATTTGAGAGAAATTGTAAATTTGAGTACGCATCAATATCATCAAGGCGTTGGCCTTTTAATTTTACCTCCATATATCATTTTCCTTTTATTTTAGTTTGCCTCTCAAGATGACATGACTAGTTGACCCATTCATTCTTCCATCCTTCTCCTCAACCTCAACCCCATCCTTCCTTTTATTTATTTTCATTATTATGTGCAAATTATGAGATGCCAAAAAGGCTGATCATGAAGGAACATATATAATGCAGGGTCGACTAGGTGGTATATATGTTATGCATCGCATGGTAAAACCTTGGTTCCCATAAAACCCAGAATCAGCCTCATGTACGTATGTACGTAGAGCGAGAGATCGATCCACAATGACCGAGGCTTCTTGTGTGGTTTCTTCATGAACATCACCTGTTTGATTAAATGAAGTGCTGAAAGAAGAAGCTGCAACAGCAGAAGGTGGGGAGGATATAATATGGCAAAAATTAGCTACATTAAGATGAGACTCATTCTTCCTGACCATCGTCGGTCTGACAATATGAGGCGCTGAAAGAAGGAGCCACAACAACAGAAGAATAAACCTTAGAACTCCCAAATGTGACCCCACAACACCCAGAAGAAGAAGAAGAAGAAGAACCTCCTTCAGAGCTAGTACAGGAACAGCATACTATAGTTTCTTCAACAAGCGTGTCGAATCCGTCATCTCTCGTAATATTACTGATCCGGTTCTTCCAAGGTATGGCTGTGGAAGAAAGAACTGCATGATGGTTTTTCATGATTGCATGCTTAAGAATCTGATAAGCCCTTGGATTCTTACGCAAAAAGCTGCAGATTTCCTCATGTGTGTTGGCGATCATCCCTGAAGGGCACTGGAAGTTTGTCTTGGCATTTCTTCCTCTTAGAAGCCTAGCAGCGCAATCATAAGCCATAGCAGCGTCTTCTGCTCTGTCAAAAGTTCCCAGCCAAAGCCTCAGCTTCTGTGGGGAGTCCTTGATCTCAGCGACCCACCTTCCTGAAGGCCTTTGTCTCACCCCAAGGTACTTACTGTCATTTACCCTCCGCTCTGCTCTTTTTGGAACCTTGGTCTTCCTCGTCTCTGTGCTCACATAGGGCTTATTACCTGATTCATGAGGCATTAAAGATTGGCTGTTGTTTGAGTTTTGACAAGAAAGTGGACATTCTGATGAGATCTCTAGGTTTTCCATGAGAGCAGGAGAAAGGGTTTGTTTGACTGTAACTATAAGAGATTGATGATGAGGTAATAGCTTGTCAGATTTGTTTCTTTCCCTTCTTTTAGCTGAACATAATTATTTATTAATAAATTTTTAAAAATATGAATGAGAGAGATGATTAGAATCTCATCAGATAGAAAATTTCCAAAAGGACCTTTGCTTTGGATTTAGAAAGTTGAATAAACCCAGGGCCGTTGATAAATACTACAGATGCTTTTGTGATTTACGTCTGAGTCGAACACAAACATTACAAGTGACAAAATTGGCAGATTAAACTACTTTTACTGGTAAGTGCATGTATTATATAAGGATGATGATTTGGAAATCATTATAATATATACTTTTCGCCAACCCAGTAGTTTCTATGACTATAATGTCTAAATATTACAAGAATTGCTAATTTGCAATGTAATAATATCATGATAGCCCAAAATGCAACTCGAAGGTTTAGACGAAATTTACATAAACTGATTTCACTACTCTCCTTTGGGTTCATCCATACACAAACTAGTTGTTTTATGAATTCTAACATTTTTATAACTAATTGTTTTCTGAATTCTAACATTTTTCTTTGCTTTTAAGGATGTGAAACACCAGCTTCAAAATTGATAATTGAAATGCTAAGCTTAAAAAAAAAAAAATCTGAATCCTCCTATTTTGATCTGAACAACTGAAAAATTAAAAACCAAACGTGAGTACTGGAAAAGTCGCGGTAAGTTTACTTAGTTCTCCATGATTGGAAACAAAACATTTAAAAACATACTTGGATTGAAGAAAGAGAGGGCCTAATTTAGATTTTCTCCTGTGAATTAAAACCAAAATCATTGCTCCCTTTTGTTTTTCTTTTATTTAGTCTGTCCATTTATCCCATAGAGTAACAGAAGAATAGGCCTGTCAGCTACAGCATGCATATATATGTTGATTTCATGTACACTTAAAAGCAAGGATTTTGATATAATTAGTGATGGAAAGCGCATATACAGGAGAAATAATCTACAGGGGTTTACCATTGCATGCACAAAAGAAGAAGAAGGGCAAGATGGTAATTCGGACACCAATTAGGAGAAGGTGATGATGGATCAGCCATGGTTCAAGTAGTTGTTGAAGATAAGTCCAAAGGGAATAAGCTGCTTAATTTAATTGTGATTAATATATTGGAAAACCCAGTCTCTTTGGTTGGGCAGTACACCTCTTAGAGGCATAATTCCAACAGCCAGCAAACAAAGCTAACACCTCAAAAGCCTGAAAGCATACAGAATCCACGTGTTTCTTTTAACTTCATATTCATATTAATGAAACATAATCGTGGGCATTTGTCACGTAATGGGTGTCTCTGTCGTCCTTGTTAGTTCCTCGGCCTCAAAGTGTGCTCTTTCCTCTTCTGCTTCGTTGAAAATACCGTTCACTTCTGGTCCACGTACTGCAAATTCTTCAGAAGAATCATATGTTTATGTATGGTCTTCTTGTTATTCTAAGTTTGTTTGGGTGAAGCACAAGGAGTGTGCTCCCTCTGGCAGCAGAGTACTTAGTCTCCCCAACATCGCAGAGGATCAAGTGACGAGAGTTCCTACTACTCGCGCCATCGTTAATTGGTTATTCTAACAAGTTGTTTTTATATATGTATCCTTCGTTTTGCCAGTCTTTTTCTTAAGAATCCTCTGCATAGGTGAAAATTTTTTCGGTTCTAAGGAACATGTACATTAACAGCGATACCGTGACAAGCAATCAATGTTTATGCGTATTTTGAAGTGCTGCGTCAAGGTTCTCCCCCCCCCCCCCAAAAAAAAAAAAAAAACAAATGAGCATCCAGCATGGAGGCAGGGACATATTTGAGAACAAAACTGCATATATTTTTATACTCAAGTAGATAAAATTTTTATCTGGGGTTTAAAAAGAAATTATTTTTAGTGAATCTGAAAAAAACATGAAATGCTACGTCCTCTTGGAGTCAATAGTTATCTAAAATTCAGTGTTGTATTTAACAATTTGTTGGTTTGGATGTTATCAATTATTGATCTAACATTTGTAAATCGCCCTCAGATTTGACATTCAAAATACAGTACGCTGTTATACGTATGACGTTAAGCTTTAGACGGGAATCTCACACGGAGACGATTATTACGTTGTGACGAATGATTGAATAATTAGCTGGTAAAAAAAAAAAGATTGAATAATTAAATCGAAAGATATTATGTGGAAGACTGAGTTAAAAGTTTATGTATCTTTAGCACTGATCAATATATATGCTACATTTGATCCTAATTATAAGATCTTGTTTATAATAAATTATAAATAAGGTTTTATAATTAAAACTGCAGTCATGCACTATATTCTTCAAATTTTGTTTATCTCTGTGTCATGTTTCACGAGAGAGACAAGAATTATGCGGCACAAACTGGCATACATGGTAAAGAGAGATGATAGCATATGTTGAGGGTGATGAGGAATGACGTGATCAAGCTTTGACAAACAACTTAATTATAAGTATGTAGACGCCAGAAAGGATGGGCATTGGGACAAAATGTTAGGGTTGGTACTGGGCTTCCATCTTAGACCTACCCATTGTTTAATGGGTTAGCAGTGAGGACAAAAGGTTCCTGTTGTAAACACTGTTATGATTCCTCACAACGCCACTGAAATATTTATATATAGAGGAGCTACGTCTGCTCTTGTCTGGGGTTGCTTCCGCAGAAACAAGCAACGTAATTCAGGAAACACCTCCACTTCACAGTTAGATACACATCAAAATTATTGCCGCCTACTTTCAAAGGATCAAGTTTTAGGGTTGGGAAAAAAGGATCAATAAATAAACAAGCAGAAAATTAAAATTATCAAAAAGGAAGCGCCATTGTTGAGCTGGACTTGGGACTAAGCTTGTATCAGGATTCTCATTCGTCCGTTGGGCTGAACTTAAAAAAAATCCTTCTGCTTAAAATAATCAAATAATCAGATGAGTACCAATAGAAATTGAGTCTAGTAAAAAAGATTAGTCTCTCACAACGTGATGAACTTGAATTTCCTGGGAGAGACGGCCACATTTGGTGTTAACAGTACTTTGAATAAGATTGCCTGTAATAGGAGAATACCTATATTTTAGGGAAAAAAATCAAATGAGTGTGCTCTGTTGCTTTCTATTTGCCTTTATTTATTTAGTATTTCATTTTACTCTTTTAAAATTCTTTTTTTCCCCCTTATTTTTTATTGAATGAGATGGTATGTGCTACAAAAATGAAGGAGAAAATTAGTGGAGGGAAAGGAATGAAATGGGCGGCCCAAATAGAGAGGGGGTAAGGAAAAGTGCCACGTGGGGTCAAATTCCAACAAGGACGCCATGAGCCAATGAGCAGAGGTTTTTGGATTGTGCATGAGCCAAATTGAGACAGGCCTGCCAGATTTTGGCCACACATCTCTCATCGCCTCCGCCCCCTCCTCTTCTTGCCGCACGCTCCTTCCTTCTCTTGCTTCCACTAGCTGGCGATGGCGGCAATGGCGAAGCTGACCATGGAGATGCACTCCGCTCGCACTCTGGTTCCTCCCCCTTCCACTTCTTCTACTTCGCCTCCCTCACTCCCCCAACGCCCCTCCCTTTCTATTTCCCTCCCCACCTCAACCGCCATCTCTCTTTTGGCTCTCTTCCCTCTTCCCTCTCATGCCAAGCCTCTCTCCATCTCCAAGGACCAGATCGTCTCTTCCCTCACCCAGGTAACCTCCCCTTCCTCTCATTTTACCAATATCCCCGCACTTCTTTCCCTAACGATCTCTCAACTTTCAGGTGGAGCAGACCATCGATCAGGTTCAGGAGGCGGGTTCCGGCGTCTTCGATACCACCCAGCGTCTTTTTCAAGCTCTGAGCGATGCTTTGAAGCCTGCCCTCGACACCGCCTTACCCGTTGTACGCCAGGCCGCAGAGGAGGCTTTTCAAGTTGCTTCCCCGGCCATCTCCGAGGCTTCCAAGAAGGCTCAAGAAGCACTTCAAAGCTCCGGTCTTGACACTCAGCCTGTTCTCACTGCCGCCAAGGTTTCCTTCCCTCCGCCATTTTCTATCTTCATTCCGCTCCATTTTCTATCTGTGGAATTTGTGCTCCCAAATCTTTTTTCCCCCCTAAAAGAAGGCTTCAGATTTGTGCAATCTTGATTCCTCTGGCGGTGAAGCTATTTGTGATTGTCGGTTTTATATGAGTTGAGTTACTTAAATTGAAAATGGTGATAAACCAATTTGTCGCCTTAGGACCCAACCGCTAGTATGCTTTTGTAGGTGTCCGAATAGTTGTGACTTCCCTTAGAGTGATCTTATTCTTTGTTTCATCTGAGGGATCTATGATATGATTTCAGACCGTAGCAGATGCTGCACAGCAAACAGGCAAGGTTATTGAAGACGCTAAGCCAATAGCTTCAACAACTGTGGAAACGATATCTTCTGCAGATCCTACTGTCATAGCTGGAACTGCCGGAGCAATATTTCTTGCTTATCTCCTCCTGCCTCCTGTGTGGTCTCTCCTCTCTTTTAACCTTCGCGGTTACAAAGGTAGCTTTGTCATCTGATGCCAGTTGCTTTATGATATGTCTGTACAGCAATAGACACAGACACTTGCAAACAAACATCTCATTCTTTTAGATGTCCAAGCTTCACAACTTACATTGTAGAGAAAAACGGCATTTCTCTTCCGGGGCTGACACTGGTATTACTATGCAGGTGAGCTTACCCCTGCTCAAACCCTTGATCTTTTATGTAGTCAAAACTACGTTATGGTTGATATCAGGTCAGAGAAGGATAAGAACAAGGCCGGTATTCCTCGCCTCCCCTCTAATGCTAAAAACAAGATGATTGCCATACCGTAAGTGATGCAGTGAATTAATGATTTGTTCTTTATGAGCTTATGTATGTATCGTTGCTTGTGGTAAATCAAGTATGAGATACACGTGGTATCACTTAATTGTTTCCTAAAATTCAGATTAGAAGAACTGCCAAGCAAGCTGAGAGGCCTGGTGAGAAATGCGAAGAAAGTAGAAGCTGAAATAGCAGCTTTGAAGATCTCATATCTCAAGAAAGTAAACAAAGGCACCAATATTGTGATCATGGACTCGTGAGTTTCTACCCTTATGCTGAGGCAAACTAAAACATTTAAAATGAATTATGTGTGGATGGTGCTTGATTTGTTTTGTTGGAAAATGCAGGTACTCGGAGTCGGCAAAAATAGTTGCGAGAACGCTAACGAAGCTGGGGTTCAAGCAGTGCTATATTGTGGCGGATGGGTTTTCCGGGAACAGAGGATGGTTGCAGAGCAGATTAGGGACAGATTCATACAACTTATCGTTTGCAGAGGTACTGTCACCATCCAGAGTAATCCCTGGCGCAGTGAGCCGCTTTGGGACGACCAGCGGAAAACTTCTTCCCGGGGCTGACTGACATCCAAAATCCATTTGTGCATGCTTCAACTCCTCCCCTACATTATTCTTCTCAGTGAATTTCATTATTCTTTTGCCAACATCCACTCTCAAGTCCAGTGAAGGAAATGTTCATATCCATATCCAGCCACCAATATTTAAAAAAATTTGCATGCTCAGAGGCCAGAGCTGGGTGTCTAACAGAAATTAGCATCACAAGACATCAAATCTCTTCGCGGAAATTACTCAGGAAAAAAAAAAAAACAAAGCAATATATCGGCGTGCGTGAAGTGCATGTTTACTCGGGGAGCTTTTCTTTGGTGAAGCTGCCCAACTTCGTGAGATTATCTGAAAAACACGCTTAAAAAAAGTAGATTTATTAAAAATAAAAATAATAAATATTTAAAAATAGGTACTTCACAGAAAAAACTTAAAAATAAAAGTAATGAACATAATAAGTATTATATAAATTATTTTTTGTGCAAGCACTGGAAGAAAAGATCACTCGTCTATCCTTGTAATATTTTAGTTTTTTTTTTCTTTTTGCTGGATGATATTTTACTATTTTTTTTAAATGTCAAAGTTTAAGCCGTTGAAACTACTTATGCCTTGTTTGGAATGCAAAATGGTATGAAATTATAGAAGGGAACAAAATGAAAACGAAGCAGCTTTTCAGATGAAAAATACGATTTTTACCTTTAGCTAATAAAAAGAAAAACGTAGTTATTATTGAGTAATGATATAAGATTTATATACGGTGAAAAAAAAAAGAGATAAAATATACTAACTCCAGTATTTAATATAAGACTTCGTTTGATTTTTATTTTGATTCTAAACATAAGATTCTAATCCACTTTGTTTCTTATATTTATATATTTTTTTCAAGGTAGTCTTTCTAATAATAATAGTTCTAGTCAATATACTTGATTAGTAAGGATATTTTAGGAAAGATAACACCTATTTATTACAAATAATTAATTTAACTTATTTATTTAATCTTCTTAAATTAATCAACTAACTCTTATAACTAGAACCGGAAGTAGTATATCATATGCCTGGATTTCATGACATCTTCCCTTTATCACCTAGGTAAAATTCAAATTCGAACATTGTCAATGGAATGGAGTGGTGAGATGAGGTCCAGGTAGTATTGATATTTCAGATCAATTTTTTGCCCGATATTGACTTATTTGCTACGACTTTTGTTTTTTTTTTTTTTAAAACCAGCAAACTGGGATTCATTTTTAAAAAATTTAGTTAAAAGTCCTTTTTTAAAAAATTTATATTTTTTCAGCCAATCGTATAGGGATTTTTTTTACCACATTTCTCTTCGTTCCCAACTTTTTAATTTATTTAATGAAGATTTATAGATTTTTTTTTTTAAGTTTTAAAACATTAATTTCATTATTTTAATTTAGAATGTGGGGATAACTTTCCAAAAGAGGACAAAAACACACATATCTAAATATTGTTTGTCGAACTTGGGACATGGGAGTTGGCACCAACTGGAAGGGATCACGATCACATGGCATCAGGGACTCACAGGGAGTCCCTCGCGTGTTGTTCTAGCTAACCAGAGCAAGCCTTCCCCTTCAAACTTCAAAGCAATCACTTCACTTCACTTTTGTGCTGAAAGTTGAACGTTGGTAAAGACGACAATGTCTTCCAAATCGCTAGACTCTATTACTCCCTCCGATATTGAATCTCGTGGAATCACACCAGAAGATGCCGCCAGCCTTCATCAACTTCTCAAGGAAATCGTTGCAATTCATGGTGTCGGAACTCCTGCCACGTGGCAGAACATCACGAAGCGCGTACTCACTCCTCATCTTCCCTTCTCGATCCATCAGATGTTGTACTATGGATGCTACAAGAACTATGGTCCCGACCCGCCCGCTTGGATACCGGACCCGTATGCACTTCCGATAACTCAGTAGAGTATTTTCCATTAGCATAAATAGAAGTCACTTCATCCTTCCCCTTAGGAGGAGGGGGCGGGAAGGGTGCAGTTGATTGAAATTTTTACGTTTTGCTAGAGTTGAATGCCAGTTTCATTTTTTCATTCCATAGCAATGATTTTGCATGTCATGCTTTGCCTTTAAATCCCTTCAATTATGCACAATTTATGTTTCTTATAAAAGTTGAAATGATGAAATTAAGATTTCGTACTGTAAATTAATGAATTAGATTATGAAGTATGACTTCTCTCTGAAGGTACCTGCAAGATTTTTTGTTGAATGTGTGCAATAATATATGTTATGAATTAAAAGGCTCTGATGTGCTTTTAAGGTTTCTTCCCCTCTTTTATTTGTTGTCAGGGCAAATGCTGTTTTAACAAACGTTGGCCAGTTGCTGCAGAGGAGGGGGAAAGAGTTCTTGGGCTCAGCATATAAGGATCCTATTTCAAGCTTTTCTGATTTCCATAAATTTTCAGTCTCAAACCCTGAGGTCACTAAGACAAACTCTAAATTGTGTTTGCACTTTTTAAATTTTCTTTAATCTGAACTTTTTGTCGTTATTGTTTCAGGTTTACTGGAGAACTGTGCTGGATGAGATAGATATATCATTTTCTGTGCCACCTAAGTGCATCTTACAAGAGTGTACCTCTGGAGAAAGCCAGTTAACATACCCAGGTGGCCAATGGCTTCCTGAAGCATCTATTAATGCAGCAAAGAATTGTTTGACTATAAATTCCAGAAGAAGTTTGGATGACACAGTAATAATTTGGCGTGACGAATCGCATGATGATCTACCTTTACACAAAATGACTCTTAAGGAATTGCGTGAGGAGGTTTGGTATGCTGGAAAAAGTTTGTTCTTTATGCCTTTTACTTGCTTAGTTGAGTTGCTAACACACATTATCATATGGCAATGCATAGATTCATTTGATTATACCTCTATTATGTCCATGAAGTGGTTAGATAAAATCATATGCTCAGCATTACACAATACTTGCATGCAGTTCCTGGGTGTTTTGTGTTTAAGTTCATCAGTGAAAATATATGAGGATATTTGACCAACTCACAAGAGTATCCTTGATTTCGTTAAAGTTCCTTTTCACATGGCATAATTTAATTAAATAACTTGTTGGCAAATGCAAAATAAAATTCTTTTAAAGGTATCCTTTAGCATTACCCTATTCTTTGTCGAGGGCTTTTATGGCTGCTTTCATGTCAAATGCACAATAAGTCATCCAAATTTCTCTTTTACCATTACCCTGTTCTTTTACCAAGGCTCTAATGGTTGCTTTCATGTCAAAGTCAGTAAATCAACTCCATGCTACCCTCATTTGCTGTGATTACCGTTCTCTCTCTCTCTCAGTTTTTTTTTTTTTTTTCCGACGCTGTGATTACCGTTTACATCAACAGATTTTCTTTTTACGTTGGTTTCCTACAGAATATGATAAGAATATTATGTATACTTTCTGTTCTATATTTACTCTCTCTCTCTCTCTCACACACATCTTCGACCCCCTTCACTCTTGATTAGAAATCATAGTTTGCTATACATTTTTTTCTTCTGTTGTGGGTGCAGTATTCAGTCATAATGTCAGTCATTTTCTAGACATACATCTGAGCCAGAAATATGATTGGCTTCTGGTTGGTCTTTAACCAAAACGAGGGAAAGGGTATATCTTTTCTTTTTAGAGTTCAGTAACATGATGTGATGAAATGTTAATAGTGAGTTCCTAGCATATGATTAATTTAGCTGATGTTTACTTCCTTTAATTTGTGGTTCTAGTGACTGGTCTTTGAAATAGAAACAAAGCTAACCGTAATGAGAATTTTCCCCAATTATTTGTAGATTTGATATCTTTGAAGTAATGTTACTAATTTCTCATGTTCCTTAATGCTAGTTATATTTTTGTTTCTTTGATTCAAATAAAGAAAGCAACTAAATAGATGAAATGTGCTGGTTCTGTACTGTAGGTTGGTTGCATATGCACTCCAAGCGTTGGGCCTGGAGAAAGGATCTTCTATTGCAATTGATATGCCAATGACTGTTAAATCTGTGGTTATCTACCTAGCTATTGTTCTGGCAGGTCATGTCGTTGTATCAATTGCTGATAGTTTTGCAGCACCTGAAATATCAACCAGGCTTAAAATATCAAAAGCAAAAGTTATATTTACTCAGGTTGGCGTCCAGACTTATTCTGACTTTAAATGTTTTCATATTGTACTTTCAGATGTTTTTAAAGATTCTTTGATATCTTTATGTTTGTATTTTCCCCTCTTCTCTCGTATTCTGTTTTCTTTATCTTTCCATACTACCAGATCTTTCTTCCCTTGGCAGGCAGCACAACCAACCGTTTGTTTTGGCAGATTTTCCCTGACACCCATCAAACCCAAATGCAATATGAGTCCTCTTAAACAGCCACCAAAGACACCCTAGGACCAAATCCTATTGCCTAAAATTGCATTTCCATTCACATAGCCTCAGTGAACCTAAAATCCACTATCCACAATCTTTCTACCTTTAATTTTCCTTGAAACTGTAAATTTAGGCTAAAAAGCTTAACCCTGTGTTATGTGTTAATTTGTTCTTTTTTGTTGAAGTATTGTCTTTTCTACTCTAGGAATAGATGAGACGGCCTTTGACGTTGGGTATGTTTTGTGGGTTATAGCCAATAATGCTTATCGATCTAACAATTGAACAATAATATCTTGCTTACTGATGCGGTGAATGAATTTTCATTGTTTTAGGTGGTTGATGTTTTGAAAATATCAAATACTGTTTGTTGGGAAGCTATATATGATACTATTTTTTTCCAATGATGTGTACGGTCTCTGGTTACTACTGTTATGATAATTGTCAATTTGTAGATTATTGCAGTGTGACAGGTATTTACTTTTTATCTTCACCTCCTTTTTTTCTCTAATAGGATCTCATTATTCGTGGTGACAAAACCATCCCCCTCTACAGGTGAAGTTCCTTTTTACTAGCTACTAGCTAGAGCAATACCCCTTTAATCGAAATATTACCTATTCTTTGTTTCTCAGTAATAACATTATTCACAATCACATTGTGGTTTCACAAATGCAGTAGAATTGTGGATGCTGAGTCACCTATGGCTATAGTGATCCCAACCAGAGGCACTGGGTTAAGCATGAAACTGCGCAACGGCGATCTTTCTTGGTGCTATTTTCTGGAAGGAGTTGATAGTCTAAAGTATGTCCCTTGGTCCTGA